TAATAATAATAATAATAATGGACTATTCCATACTTAATAAATACTGCGCCTCAGGAGTAGGCAAAGGGTCAGTCAGTAATTCAAGTCGAGTCAAGAGTCGAGTCAGAGGCAGTCCAAAACAGAGTCGCGTTCAGACAATTACTACAAGACATTGGAATAGTGATATTGGTCGAGACTACATTGTTCTCTCTACTAAACCTGATTGTTCATACTAACAGTTCTACTTCTCTGTATATATTCCTGTTTTTAATATATCTGTGTTATTCCATACCTGTGTTCGAGTTCTCCTTTATTGGTTCTACCTTAGACTATCACCGTGGTACAAGGAACTGGACCATAACAAGTGCGGGGAAGTAGTCATTCCTACAGAAGGTAGTGAAGGAAATTGTAGAGAAATGATTAAGAATCATCGTAAGGAAAAGTGACAACTCCAGACGCGAACTCTGAATTGGCGACGCCAAAATCAAACCAGTGCAAAAATAGGAAATGTCTTCACAGAGGACGGAAAAAAACGGCACCGAAGTCCGAAGAAATGAAATAATAATAATACATTTCAAAGGTTTTAGCAATGTTATAAGAAACAGAAAAATCTTGTTAGGAACGAGTACACAATTATGTAATATCGGTCCTGCAACATCTATCAGAAGATATATTGTTTTCAATTATTTAAGTTCTTTGGAAAAAACTGTTTGAAGTTTTCAATGATTTCAACGTCTTCTTTGTTCGGCAGTGAATGTTGGACAATCTCTTCAAATGTAATTCTACTGCGAATGCCATACACTGAACATGTTGGCAAAAACGAAGTTTTAGAGAAAATGTAATAAAAGATGATTATACGAGACAACTGAAATGAGGAAAGAAGGCTTGGAAAATTTAACACTCATAGAACATGTTGAAGGGACAGAGTAAACGAGACAATAAACTACATTTCTCGCACTGGTCACCTGTTAGGATCCCTTCCGATTTCTTGCTTCCCTGATAACTACAATATTCAAAAATTTAAATGCATCGCCAATCGCTATCTTCTATCTTCCTGTTCCGTTATTGTTCTTGCCTTACTTCTCCTCACTAAAGTCTTCTTATTCTCTTTCACTGCTTATAACCGTCTGCGTCTTAGGGGCATTATCGCTTTGCTTAGGGTGAAACTATTAAAAATAATTAACAAGCTTGTGTAAATGGTTGGCAGTTCAAGGTTTAGAAGAGATACCAACAAGATAAACACTGCTAAGGTCTACGAAAAGTTGAAGCAAAAGTACCCGGCTCTGATCAACCGAAAGCGCGCTTTGATGCAGCAGGACAATGCCAAGCCACACACCGCCAGGAAGACCAAAGACAAGTTTGAAGAGCTGGACGGCATTGAGGTTCTGCCACATCCAGCCTACAGTCCTGACTGTGCTCCATCAGATTACGGCCTTTTCCTCTCAATGCAACACTTTCTGAAGGGCTGCCGAATCGACTCGTTTGATGAAGTCGAGGAAGCGTGTCAAGAATTCTTTGATTCGAAGCCGGCTGAATGGTACTTTCACCAGATCCGAAAGCTTGCAGATCGATGGCAGAAAGTCTTGGAAAATGATGGTCTTTATTTTGAGGAATAATTTTTGTTGTTTTGTTATTACTTGGCGTGTAAAATTTCAATTTTTTGCAAGTGTTTACGAACTTTTGGGACAACCTAATATTTGGTTCGACAAAACCCCTCTTTACAAAATTACGACAATGAAACCTGATCTGAAAACTGATTTCTCATAAAGAAATTCTATTCATACCAACATATCGTAAAATTCTTTGATATACCGTAAAACAAAATAAACTAAACCAAACCAAGCTTATTGCTAATCCACTGAAAATGTTCTGGAGAGATACATTCCTTAATTGTAGCAGTTCTGACATTTACACACTAAGACCCAACATGCTATATAAACAGGGACGATCCATCCTCAATCCATTCGGAGGACATTGGTAATACAATCGGATAGCTTCTCCCCAAGAGCCATAACTTAATTGAACAACTCCCGGGGGTATGCTTACCCGAGCACAACAATTCTAACTTCTTCAAGTCTTAAGTCAACCGTTATCTATTCTGATAATCTACAGTTATTTTCTCATCTTACATCCATTTAATAACACTCTACCTTGAGTGGATCTCGAATCTTGTATTCGGTGAAAATTTAGTAAAAAAAAAAGTGGAAAGTGAGAGAAAACTGATTGTCGTTATGAAATGCTCCTTTTGTAGAGAGTGCGCGTTATAGAAGAAAAAGTTATGAGTTCTTTGAATGAATGCTAATTCGAAAAAATGTCTTACCTGTCATGCAGGTTGTTCTGTCTTGTAGTCGGTGAATATTAAGTTGAACAGTCTTCAACAAGGAATTTCTAGGGATCTGTTATAACGTGTTGAATCGAAGAATTTTATGGACATTGTGTTGTTGTCGTTACGCACTGTCGTCTCTATTTATTGTCTGAAATAGGCTCACAACGACTGTTTTTTTTGGTTGGTGACAACTAGTATTTTGATTGGTTCTAAATTAATCGTTGAAATATATCTTTTAGCTTTAGATTTTGGGTGGATGAGACTCTTCTACGCAACATAAGTTTATCTATTTTTAAACCTGATGAAAATCTCTGATGATCAGACAGATAATATATGGAAGTTTATTTTTGTTTTTCTTTTGTTTTTTATTTGGTTAGATAACGGTTGACCCAAGACTTGAAGTAGTTAAAATTGTAGCGATCGTGGAAACATCTGCTCAGGAGTCCCTTCCACATAGAAGCGGTTCTGAGGAAGAAGCTCTCTGAGTAGAAGTTCCTGCTTACCAAGAGAATACGAAAGAGATTAGGAGAATTAGACTCTATGTACGTGGCATAGTGAGTCCTAACTGTAAATGTCTGAAATGGTGGAACTGAAGAATGTACCTAGTCTGAACATTTCAATGGAAATACTGATAGGCTTGTGACGTTTCGCCTGTAGTCGCAGAGTGGAAAATAAGTACAGGTACAAGCGTGAAACAAACAATGGGGATCGAATAGGCTGATTGAATGATTCATTTTCTACGGTTTATCAACCCTTTTGTGGGTTTTTTAAAACCAAAAAATGTTTTAAATCTAACAATTTGTTTTGTTTTTTGAAATAATAATTGTTTAATGATACAAGTCTTACTAATTAACCCATAGCGGGGGGGACTGGATTCCTATCTAATCAGTATTTGAAAAACAAACAAGAATTATGGTGTAGGTATAAATTGGGGGATCGATTCTATTTTACGATCACTATGTAAACTGACCCCTCAAATTTGTGGCCACGGTAATTTCGATACATTCATATTTCAGAGAATGTAAATATAACTAAAGGATATGATTATGAAGTTAATCATTAATCAATATTTAATTGGTTTGTTTTGTGTGGCGTATATGGATTATCAACTCTCTTGCAGGTTATTTAAAGCCAGAAAATATTTTTAGGTTGTAAGATTTTTTTTTTTTAGTTAACAATGTCTTACTAATTAATAACTAGGGGGAAAGAGGTGGGGGTTTGGTACGTTTCGGCGTCGCCCATTTGGCGTGGCTGATTCGGCGTCAGAAAATGATTGGACTATTCAGCACAGCCGTTTAGGCGTCAGACGTTCGATGTCACTGTCTTTGACCGGAGGCATCCACCCACATCCGCCAAAAAAAATGGATAAAAGCATTAAAAACACCCAACTTTCAATATGACATTTACTCATTTAGGGGATTAAGGACCCTATTAAAACACTAATGGAATAATGTAAATTAAGCCCATTTTTATTTTAGCCCATAACGCAAATCAGGATCGGTTTTATCTCACTTTATGTCGATCTTTCTGTTCACATCGGCAAAACTTTAATTCAGGATCCGTCTTGCGCGTTGCGCCGAAAATAAAAAGGTATCTATAGTGTATCACTTTGTTTCTTCCACGTTTTGATAAAATTTTTTGCTTCCATTTTGGAATAAAATGGCTTTGACGTCTGAAAAATATGAAGCTGCACTGAAGGAAATATAATATAAAAATACCTCCAACTACTCTTTTGCTTAAATTGGACTATTCGAGCATATAACGACGAAGTACTAATTTGACTACTAAACAAGAGAGAGGAGTGGGGGAGAGAGCAAATTTGACTATAACGACGAAGTAGTAATCTGACGCCTAATCACCCCTCTGATGAAAAATTCCTATGTCGAATCGGCCACGCCGAATCGGCCACGCCGAAACGTCCCATTCCCATTTGCGCGTAAGTAAGTATAACGAGCCCGATAGGAATTCGAACCCGGCTCTCAGATTAACAATTCCGAGACATTCTTCATTACAGCACCGACATGAATGAAACTGCTTTCTCCTTCTTCATCGTAGATTAGGAGATTTCGATACCGTCACATTCAGTGGTCTTTCTGTCCTAGTTTGAGTAAACATGCAACCCGCTTGGAACAAACTTTGCAACATTCTGACGTTGCCAGCTTCGATTGCAAAATAGCGATGCTGGCATTCGGTTATCTACACAGTTCTCTGGTTTTAATCCGCCAATTTGCACAAATGTGCTGACCGAGAATCTCTTCATTCCGTGAATTAAAAAAATACACCAGACCGTCCAGGGCATACCGTGTGACACACCTCGTTTCATTATCCACCACACGTGTTCACATTTACTATTTGGTTTCCAGTGAACGATCAGCAAGTCAATAACTGTAATGTCTTCCACATAGAAGAAATCAGTGACACCTTTCCGCTTCATATGAACTTTCATGTCAGATTTCATTTTACCAGACTGCTGCTCAGCTGCGATCTATAACAAAGCTAAATAAAAACTTGAGTTATTGGCACTGAGATTCAGCATCTAGTGTCTCTGAAATCTGTTGAGAAAGTTGCAAGAAAACGGACGACAAAAAAAAATTATGTAAATACTGCAACTTTCAACAAATTCATTAATTCGTTTACTTCCACACGACGCAAGTGTGCGTCTTATGGTGTGTTGTTCATTGCCTCTGACGCACGTATGTGTCTATTCCGTGATGCGATCGTAAAAACTGACCCTGGCGCGAAATGATCATCGTATCGTGGAGGAAAAAAGCCAGTGCCGAGAACGCACATTAAATTCATCTTTTAGCTAAATAAATAAACGGCAAATTCTGTCTATCCGTTCGCATTTCTGAAACTTCTTTAATTCGGGTCACAGTTGCTCTACATAGATATATTATACCCTTTTGGAATCAGGATGTTCCGAGGATTGGAAATCTGTCCTTCATCCGGTGCCTGAATATCCAGAATTCGGATTTGTATAAAGATTTGGAGGGAAGAGTTAAAAATTCAAATTTTAAAATAACAGAAAACTATTAATCATTTTAAAAGTTTTTAATTTATATTGATTTGAAATTAACACAAAAACTTTGTGAATTTTTTTTAAAAAATTGTTTTAAATTCAGTTTAAAATATCTCCAAAACTTTGTGAATTGAAGAAATTAACTTTTATTTCTTTAAAATGACAAGGAATCAGAGTTAAAGTGAGATCTTTTGTGATGTGAAAATTTATCTATCTATCTATCTATCTATCTATCTATCTATCTATCTATCACAGTCTGTTCGTATCTACCTTTTTACCACATCCTGTTCATATCTATCTATCTATCTATCTACCTACCTACCTATCTAATCTATCTATCACAGTCAGTTCATATCTATCCATCGATCGACATATTTCAGTCTGTACATTATCTATCTATCTGTCTGTCTGTCTGTCTATCACAATCTGTTTGTATCTATCTATCCATCTATCGATCGATCTATTTCAATTTGTACATTATCTATCTATCTATCTATCTATCTATCTATCTATCTATCTATCACAGTCTGTTCGTATCTATCTATTTACCACATCCTGTTCATATCTATCTATCTATCTATCTATAGATATAATCTGCAATTACGAAGTTTTAGTTAAAGTTCTTAATATGATAGGTCTTTGAAATATAGGAGTGGATTTTGCAACTGTTCCAATTATTTTGTCCAACCCCCGTATCTATCTACCACATCTTTCTATCTATCTATCGATCGATCGGACTATTTCAATTTGTACATTATCTATCTATCTATCTATCTATCTATCTATCTATGTTGATAGCTCAATGATGTAAAAGAATATATTTTAACAATAAATCAAAATCATAGATCAAACAATATACCCTGAAAATTTGCAATTTAATATTCATGTAATAAGTACGTGTTAGGACGCGAAGTTATGGATCCGTCCAAGCATCTACAGTGCCGTTTTTCGATCTTGTTTCTTTCTCCTTAATTTTTTTTTTTTTTTTTGGCAACAAGTCATTGCAAATAATGGTCAATATATAATTGAATAAAATATAATTGTTCTTGATAAACAAAAATGAAAATTATTTGTGACTCAACTCAATATTCTGACTGCTATCACGTGAACGATTGTGCAGTCATTTTTCTTAGTTGAAGATGCACTTTCGATTATTTGCCACCGACGTTCATATCTCAATCATTGTTTATCGATCGCAATGCAACTGGAAATCGATTTGATGACACTGTATCGATGAACTCAAAATGATCTTGCATGATGAGACAGCCCGCTGATAAATGTAGCCGATAGGTAAATGATATCCGAGTCTCTTATCACTTTGGTCCACCACAAGTGGTCAGCGGCTTTGAAAGTCTAAAGTGACTTGGTGCGAGGTAACGGCCTTTGGCATTAGCAAAAGACCAGGCGTTGATCAATGTCCAATGCAACTTCACGGTGAATGTCCAAATAGAAATGCCGGCGGAATGAAATTTCAAACACCTCAAATTAAATTCTTTTGTCCATTGATAAAGATCGGAAATTTGTTAATGAAACTTTGCTAGTTTTAAACGGAAGATAGAAGAGTAGTTAATGCTGCTCACAATTCTCTTTATCTATAGTGAAGCAAAAGATAGCAAGGCTAAAATGAACTCTTAATTGCAATTTCGATATCTTTGAATGAGTTGGCTACTTTCGTTACAACATGAGCTATCTTCCTTTTGCATGATAAACTCGTCAGTTGGAGTTAAAACTTTCTATCCATTCATGACTTTGAAGACTATTATATCGAGAAGTTCGACAGAGAAAATGGTAAACCTGAAAATGAAGACATTAAATAAATAGAAAATCTAAGCGAAATGTTGTGGAGAAAAACAAACATTCAAATAGGCAATGATAAATGAGAAAATATGATTCTGAGTCTGAGGAAAGAACATCAATCCCAAAATACCGTCCAAAAGTTAAACATTGGTGGAAATATTTGTAGTACGGGCAAATGTGACAACATAAGATATACAGATGACACAATGTTGCTGGCAGACAGAAAGGAAACTCACACAAAAGGTAGTAAAAGAAAGCGAGAAAAAAGGACTAAGCATCAACTGTAAGAAGACAGAGTGCATGGCAAGAGGAACAATCCAAGATATGAACTACAAATTGGAGATATCAAACGAAGCAAGTACAATAATTATTTTATAACATGGCGGAAATGTGAACAGTTTTCAGCTTCTGCTCAGGTGCCAGCATTCTCGGGGGCCATCTTGCAGACAGCTAGCTCATTCTCAAGATCTGTTAAAACAGGATGGAACGAACCAGAAATGGACACTATGACGTCTGTCATCCAAAACCAAACTATGAATGGCATCAACTTGTTTATTAGTGGTTGAGGATTTTGCACAACCTGACCGATGGTCATCTCCTGTCCCGTTCCTGTCCCACTTCTTTACAGTTGCATAATAAAGAGTGTCCTCAGCAAATGTCTGTACCGTGTCGTCATGGATTTACTTGGGTTTCATACCTTCCTTTGGCAAATATTTTATGACTACTACTCGTGCCTTTGTTTTGTCTATTTTTACATTCATCGCACAACTCTCACCATTGTATGGATCAGAAACTTGGAGATTATCTGCTCGTCTTGAAAGATGGAACATATACAAATCTTCTTAGAAAATTGCAGAACATCATTTGAAGATCCCATGCAATGTTTAGCACAATTTACGGAGAATTGAGACCAATCTCTCTTAAGCTAAAATGAAAACGGTCACAGTTTGCCGGCCATTGGCACCGAGCGGCCAAGGAAATCATCTCATCCTTACTCCTATGACATTCTTCTGGGAGTGTCCTCTTATGAAAAATAAACCTTTCTAGACACCATAGCTCGGGACTCAGGGTCGGACATTGGAGATCTGGGGACAGCAAAGCAGTGTGGAAAGGGATTGTCAATGGAACTCTGATCAACCATAGGGAAGTTGAATGTTGTTGTTGTTGTTGCTGTTGATGATGATGGACATCGCCTACACAGAAATTAAGACAAAAATCTGAGTTAGTTTTTCTATTTTCATAAGAAGTGTTAGTGTGTTGCCACAACAGATTGGGTGGGGTTTGGAACTTTTTGAACGACCCTCGTAAACTAGGAAATTTAGTAAGAAAGAACACCTAGCGTCAGATTTGGAATACACTCAAAAATATCGAAGAGGCCCGATTTCATCGTGGGTAAAAGTATCATGCAAAGAAGAGATCCTCAGTTTGATATCTGGTCGGTATTTATAAAGTGACTTATCGAAATAAGGTGCTATTTTCTGACGAGTTTTAATCATCATTAGTGGAATCATTTTCAAGAAAAGAAGATAAAAAAATCCCGAAACAGCCAATACAGCTTTTGTATTGTTAAAAGTTTGAAGGTTGAAATGAACGTGATATGACTATGAAATTCGTTTTAGCATAACGAGTCAAAAATTACTTTACAGTTTAAAGACATTTTAAAACATTAGCACCTAGATTGAAACTGATGTTATTGATAGTGAGTCGCTTTGATTGTAAAGCGTCACTAAAATTTGCAGTCTGCAATAGCAGAGTATATAGTGTCGATAAAAATATGAGACATTTAAAATGCTGTGGATTTCTATTATACAGGATGTAGCAAATCAACGCCTTTTTGATTTACAGTAGAATTCCTGAAAACCGGACTAGAAAGGCTTTCCGGATATGAGGAATTGGTTACAAAGTCCGGATATGGGGGTGTATATTTAGATTAAAGTAAAAGAACTGAAGTCAGGTTTAACATTTATTTTCAATGTTTTATTGTAAACAAAATAAGCTAATGGTGAGTGAAATATAACGGAATTGATTTTAAGGAAAAAGAAATAAATTATGTAATGTTAATGAAAATTCATGAAATTAAGTATGTTATATATGCAAAACAAATAATATAGCAAGGATTTTTTAATCGCTGTTGCATGATGATACTTTCTCTTCTAATGACAGCCGTGACTGAGTACTCCTGCTTGTGTGGCATGGTGTATCGTCCTGTTGTCAGACATAGGAACTTCCAGCAGCCACACCCTTGACCCAGAACAGCACTTCTGAAGGCACTTGATGTAGGCCCACGTGTTGAGTCTGAAGACTTCACCAATACATTCTGAAGTTCTTTTATCACGTCTTTAATTGGTGCAATTTTTCTCACAGACGGTGTTCATCTGACCCTCCTAGACTGTACTGCCGACAAAATCAAAAACAACAACGCGCATGCGCGAAATTAAATATACAAAATAGCGACAATTTACCCATCGCACTTTGTGTGTGTGTGTGTATATATATATATATATATATATATATATATAGTTTTATGGGAAAAGTGCTCAATATCAGAAATAGCGCGTATGTAAATATAAAAGTGGAAACGCCTCACGATTGCGTCTCGCATAAAAGTGTTTGGCGCCTCTGAATGTTGACTTCAATGTTTATATTATATATATATATATATATATATATATATATATATATATATATATATATATATAATGCTACTTTTGAACTCTTTTTAAGGATTTTGCTTTACAAAAGACTGAAAGTGTCTACGTTGAACGATAAAAAAACAACTGCCTTCTCTTACGGAATCCTTGGATAATCGAGAAGGGCTCTATCCAGCCTCAAGAGAACTTTACGGGAAATGCAGACCAAAATCTCGTGCAAGCAAGTTAACACACGTGAGAAAAGAGAATAAACGTATCTCTGATAAGGTCCGGTGCTATCTACCGGTGTCAAGTCAGCGAATATCTCTCCTGAAGAAAATTCCACTGGGATAAAGCGTCGACCGCGTTTGGTGCAATCTTGCGAAAATGAACGGGTCAAAAGCGTTCTGTACATTGGACACTTTGTACCCCAATAATAAATTATGAGTGAAAACCCCTGACTTTTCCATCAGCTCTGCGCTTTCTACAACCTCAGCTAGCAACTTAAGATCGGCTTTATCATGGGCTTGGTAATTTAACCGAAGAATATCCTCATCATATTCGCGAAGTTGTTATCGAAGATTTCGGCCAACGACCCTTCCAATTACCGTCGAAACACATCAGCGGCCTTTCGAAAAAGTAGTTATAGTGGCATGAAAGAGAACAATTTTAACTCTTGTAAATTTTCTATTTGTTATTATGCTACAACCCAAAAATGTGTTAACTGTTTTCTTAGCAATGTTACCTGGCAATGCATTAGTAGTTATCAGAACAAAACATAATAAAAACAGAACATCTATATATATAGAGAGAGTATTTATAAAAAAATACAATAGCTAAATTTATGTAATGCCAATGATTTTGATATCACCATTTTAACAGTAACTTTCTACCTTGGGTGGCTCTCTAGCCACGTTGCAAAAAATGATCTTAGGCTGTGTCATACATTCGGAATTATAAGGAGGAAGTAAAACATTTAAACAGCTTTTTTAATTTATATTCTGAGTTTCTTTGGTGTTTTATAGGATGAGATCATTTTGATCATTAGCCTCATAGGGATTTTTTTTTTTTAATGATAAACGTTTTTTAAACTCTTCTTCATCAGATGAGAAAGTTACAAAAAAATAATGACTATATGCTTCATAAGCAAAAAAAATATTTTTTTTACTTTTTAGATTTATGGAAATCAAAGCATGGAAAATTAAAACGAATTATAAAGAGCACAGTACTATGAGTAGTGGTAGGAATTTATTGCCACAGATACTATTGGTAAAATAAAAAGTAATAATAATAAAATTAAAAAACTAAGTACAGAAATCATTTCCTCCTTCAGACAAAATGGAGATTACCTGAAGTGAAGGCAATTACCATCAGCATTTT